TTTCTTAATTTGTACTCTATTTTATTTATTTAAATATAATATAATATAATATAATATAATATAATATAATATAATATAATATTAGTCCTTAGAAGTAAAATTAAGAAAATAAACACGAGGCATTTAGGATTATTCGAAAAAGACATATCATGAGAAGATTCAATTTTATCTAAAATGAATGAGCTACCTTGGAATGTTTCGATTAAGAATAAAAATCCTGAATTTTGTCTGATTCCCTTTTAGCGTAAAGCAACCGTAGAAATCAATTAGAAGTCACACAAGGGAAGAACTATTTAGTACTTTTTCCTTTTCAAAACGAAAAAAAAGCTTTTTGCGAAGGACAACTTGTTTAGTATTTGTCTCTTTGTAAGTTTCAATCCGGCTGATGAAAGATATCATTTTTATAACGAAAGGGATTGTTTAAGCACAAAACCATTTAATTTGGTGTCTGCTTAATAAATAAATTGTGAAAGCTGTGAGAAATAGTGTGATCGCTTAGATAAATAAAAGTAATTTTATTGGTAGGAATTTTTTTTAAAATTTGTTAATTAATCGTTTCAGCTGAAGTTTATTTTTCACTAGTGCAAAAACAATTAAGAAATTACGGTCTTTGAGTTATTTTATCTGACAAAGCTCTTTAAATTTAAGGTAAATGTACTTATCATTATATGTTAATTTTATAAACATTCATTTTATTCTATTTGCGCAATTAAAAGATATTATTCTATATTTAAAAAAATATTTCAACTATCAGCACCTTGCTTAAATTTTAAATTGTTATTGACGAAATTACCAAGATGCGAATTTATTGCAAATACACATCATGATTTCATTAAGTGATTTTAAAAGAAAACAGTTATTCGTTTAAAAAAAGAAGCATCAAATGTGGAAATATTCTTTTAAATCAAATTGTTCTAAATATTTGTAGATTTCTTTCTTATTAAGTAAAGGATTGTAACAAAATGTAGTATAATTAGTAAAACAGATTATTTGAAATTTTTCTGTGAATTTAACAATTGATGTTACATCTATTTGATATACTAATGCAATACGTTGATATTTAAATTTTATCTTTGATTAATATAATAATTATTTTTTCAGCAAAAATGTATTGTTGGTAAAATTTACTAACTCTCTGCATATTCTGTAAAGCATTAAGACAAAATGTAGTATAATTATTACAGGAGATTGTATTTAATCATTGATTAAGTGCTACAATTAAAATAATATTAATTAAGCATTTATTCATTAACCATTATCCAATAATTAAGTATTTACTTATTATCTGTGAATATTGTAATAAATTAATTACTTTTTAAATTATATTGTCGGAAAGCGTTTTTTACTGTTAATGTTTATGTTTTATTAATGTTTTTCATATTCTGTAATAAAAAGTAGTTTAATTAATTGAACAGATTATTTCAAATTATCGGTTGCGGGTTATAAATGAAATAATATTTATTTGAAATTCTAAGGCAATAAATAGATAATTATTTATTAAAATAAAATTATGCAATAAATTAATTTATATAATAAATGCAATTATATTATAAATTAACTATTTTTTTCTAATCATATTGTCTGAAAACATAGTTGGCTCTTTTCATATTCAGTAAAGAATTGAAATAGAACATAATATATTTAATAAAACAAGAAATTTAAATTATCGTTTGTGAATAAAAAATGAATTAATATTTGTTTGAAATACTAGTGCTATAATAAGATAATAAATATTATACACCTATTTGCTTATTCATAGTTAGAAATGCTTATCTGTATAAAGCAATACAAAGTGTATTTTATGTATTTTAGTTATTTGTTTTATTACTCTCTAAGCCATAAACTTTTTTCAATATTTCATATTAAATTGTTTTTTTCCTCTTACTAAACGCATTAAAAAAATAACAACACTAAAATCAATTTGTACTCTATTTTATTTATTTAAATGAAGTGAAGCTCTCCAGCTGCAAAATTAAGCTTAATTTAAATTTTGCACTTCTTACAATATTTTAAGAAAATATTGCATCAGTTAGTCAAACCTTTCGCTTTGGAATAACTTAAGAATCTTTAAGAGGCTATTTATTTAAATTAATTTTTTCTGTTTAATATTCCAATAATAAATAAAAAAAAAAGTATAATTGATTTATCGTATAACAAAACTAGTTGCACATATATTTTTACATTAGCACTTAGAAACACTTATTTGTATATAACAATGCAAATATTATTTTTAGAAAGATTCGGTAATCTGCTTTGTTACTCTTGAAGAAAATCATGTTTTGATGGGTTTTAATACTAAGCTTTTTACTTCTATTTTCCTCGTTTACAAAAATAACGTCAATTAAATCTTTATATGTTTTTCTTTATTTGAATAATGTGTAAAAGTCTAAATAGAAAACTTGATTTTAATTAAAAAAATTCATTTGAATGAATAACCCCTTAAAAACTGTGTCTAAAGTAATTCCAAAGAGAAAGGGTGAAAGTTTTTTTTAAGAAGTTCAGTGCACATCCGGTATTAAGGTGGCGTTCCGGCCCTTAGTTGAACCACCTCTGCCCTTGATCTTGAAGGGGTTCAAGAGCAATAGGGGATAAATTTCAAGGGTAAGGGATAGTGGGAAAATAAAGAACGACGAACCTTAAAATCATACCTGACTATAGGGAGGGCATCGTTTCAATGAGCTTTAATTTTTTTTGCAAATGAAAGAGGTGCTCACAGGTACGCTTCGTTTTTAGGACATGGTTTTGTAATAAATTGTTTAGCCCATCATATTAATTCTTCTCATCTTATCTGCCTTGAAATATGAACATTTAAATTTAATAAATACTTGGAGGTAATATGAACACAAGTGTTGTTATGTTATCTTGCAAAGACAAAATATGTCGTAATTCGTCATGAATACCAATAATAACGGAGGTACTGCAAGAGTTACTCAAAGGTATGCTGCTTTTCTTATATGATTTTGTAATTTATTGCTTTGCACATAATATTAATTTGGTTAATTTTATCTGTCATGGAATATGAACATTTAAATTTAATAAATGCTTGCGCAGACAAAATAATTCATAATTCACTTTGGAATATCAATAATAATGGAGGCACTGAAAGAGGTTCTCACAGGTACGCTACTTTTTTATGACATGGTCTTATTATCGTCAGTTGTCATAAAGCGTAGTGTAAATTCTTTTCGTTTAGGCTCAAATGAAATACGAACTTTTAAATGAAATAATGGATAGGAGGTAATTTAATCTCAGGAACAGAGTGTAATTGGTATCTTATCTTGCGCAGACCAAAAATTCATCGTGGACAACAATAGAAGTAGAGGTACTGAAGGAAATGCTCACAAGTGTGCTAATTTTTTATGATATGGTTTTATAATTATATTTATAGCGCCTCTTTTTCGTATATACTTTAAGGAATTGTGAAAATTTAAGTTAAATGGGTGGAAGGAAATTTAAATGCACGAACAGATTGCTTTTAGTATCTTACCTTGTGCAAACAAAATGTCGCAATTCGTAGTTGATAACAATAGTAATGATAGTTTTTTTTTCTCAAAAAGCACATATATTGCATAAAACACTTAAGCGTCTACAAAAAGTGACAAAACCGATGAATTTCTTTTATTCACATTGCTAACGAAAAACTGAAACAAATTGAGCTATAAGTAGATCAGAAATGAAACAAGAG